TGCAGTTCCTGGCCCCATTCTTAATCTTAGAGCCCAATCCATTCTTGTTTGTCCTCAAAACTGAATTTTTATATTAAAGTTCACTCAGTTGCTTCCTGGCACACACAAATTCTGTGCCAGAAAGGGAAAGATTCCATCACTAATAAACAGAAGGAATATAAAAAAAAGTGCCAAGAGACATGATCCCTGGTTCTTAGCTTATGCATTACAACAAAGCATAGTTTAGATTTAAGGCATTTTGAAGATAAAAAACAGTAAATGATGTTGGGCAAATTGCTTTCAGATGTTTTTCCCAAGCTCGATGTGCTATTCAATCCGATTAGCTTCACAATGCTTGAAAACAACACTCAATTACATTTTCAAGAGAATACTAAAATCATATTTTTCCATCACTATTTCAACAAATATGCTACAGAGGTTTAAGTCTGGAAAATGATTAATTCTCCTGTTTTGAGCCTCTCTTCTGCTGATTTCAACAGGACTTTTATTAGGCATGCAAGGACTGACAGCTTTTTAGGAAAGCAAATAATGCCACCGTGGTAAGATATAGAACGCTGCTTGGTGCACTAGGCAGCTTTGGGTAGTGTAAGCATCGATGTGCAATTGAAGAGTTAGAACAGAGTGCCAACCAGGTTGATAAAGCCTATTTTAATAGATACCATTCAAACTATTTTTCAATCACTGCAAAGTTACAACAGAAGCAAACAGAAAAAAGGTTTCTGCCTACTTTCATAACACTGAAACATAAGTACTGAATATTCATTGCAGATAGATTTTCATACAGTGTAATATTGCCCTGTGGAACAAACTGCAAATCACTGTGGATAAAAAAGCACCCCCAAAAAACCCACTGCAATTCCTGAGTACTTCTGGCTAAACGTATGAAATAGATTGGTGGCATACTGTTACTCTTTTGCATTTTTAAAATGGCTTAACAAATAAAAGCTATGTTCTGATGCCATGCCTGAACAGTGCACCTGTCAACAAAAGCTATTCTGTCCCAGCCAGCACTTTCTTTTCATTGCTCACTGTGAAGAGCTGACAGAGTTGTTTTATGTTAAAACAAAAATATTTGAGTTAATTTTAAAACAGGAATCCAAGACTGATGAGAAATGAAACTGTGTGTATGCCATAATGTGAAATGTCTGGGTACATAATGAAAAACTGTATTTTCAATTATAAATATTTATTCACAACATAAGTGTTTGTACTGTTTGGACTGTGCTTTTTTTCTTTCTTTCTTCCTTACTCATAATCTGTAAGCCAAAACAAGACAAGAGTAAATTCAACACATTTGTTTTCAACTGAATGAGGAAGCCTACCATTGGGGTTATTTACCAGGGTTGACAACAAATCCTCAGCTTTTGGAATTATTATTATTATTATAAGGCTGATAATAAGAAAGAAACACGTTTAACAGGTAAGCTTCTTGTGCTACCAATTTTCTTTGAAAACCTGTAAAGCCTGATTCAAAAAACCCTTATGCGCCCTTACATCAAGCTTAGTATAAAGATGATAATGCCCTTTCACAAGCTATATTTATTTTTAGGCTTGATCTGGCCAGTTCCCAAATGGTTCTTGCGATGAGAAAGTTTTCCAAATTCCATAGACTTAGAAGGGCAAAGTACATGTTTTGTCTGGTACTCAGGATATGTACCAACTTATGGGTGTTAATTGTTTTAACTAAGTACACTATTCAAATTTATTCACTGTATTTCAAATTGGCCAACAATAGTTTTGCTTCATAAATGTAAAAAAAATCATCTATAGTATTATTTCTATGGCTTTCAACAGAAAGAGTTTGCTTTTCTTTTGGTAATGTTCTGTGGGGTACACAATTTTTTCTAAAATTTAGGGAAACAAGCTCATCTACAATAAAAAGGGGAAATGACTGAAATCATGCATCTAGCTATAACAATCTGTATATTCTCTGAAAGTAAATGAAAAATTAATCTCTACAATGTATAGTATTCCTTGAATGAACAATTTGCTCCATATACTATGGCTCCAGTAAAACAGAACTTAAGTTTCGGGAAAAATGAAGAGAACTTCCAGAGCAATGGCCAAAGACTAAGGGACTAAGGTAAAAATAAAATTTAAAAAATGGATATATGCCTATTATGGTATAATTATTTATATTAGAGCAAACCTCCTACAAACCTCAACCAAGGATCAGGGTTCCACTGTGTTAAACATTATGGACAAGTTAACCCCCCTCCCTCCCCCCACTGCAAAAGTAGATTCCCTGGTCCAGGGAGATCACAATCAAGGAAGGTCAAAGGACAGGACAAGAAAAAACTGATAAGAGGATCTGAGGCAAAACAGCAAAGTAAGGATGCTAAATATAAACAGGTAGTTTTATCTTGTTATTTGCTGATCCATTACCTATAAACCATTGTTCATTTGACATCACAGGAGAAGTGAAGTCATTTTACAGACTGGATATTTCTCCTCAAGTATAGGGAAAAGTAGGAGAAAGCATGAAGTTGTTGAATGAGAAGTAGAAGCTGACCACATTGGCTAGGTGCAGACATTCAAAAAGCCTGAGGTGAAATCGATCCAAGTTGCATGGTTTTCTGTAAGTGGTGCAGTTTAGATGGGCAGCGAACAGAACATACATTTGCCCTTTGGCAAGGGGAGCAAGGGGGACAAATCTTAGTCCAGGCTCCACCATTTTTAAACCAGTCTGTGTGCACCGAACTTCTGTTCTGTTACGGGTATAGACCAGTTTCCATTCATTTATAGTGGTAAAAGTGCAATGTCTGTACACTTAGACAGGGTCTCAACTGTTGTAGGCACACTTTTGCATCAGTTCTGACCTAGGCACCATGGTTTTTCCCTGACACTGTTTCCCTCTGGTCCTCAGCTGTGGCACAGGCACAGCACCATACCCCCTGGAAACAGCTCAGATCCTTATTGCCCCAGCCTAGCACAGGTGAAGCCTCTTGCCACCAGAGACTCCCCAGCTCCATGGGCCAGATCCAGGGGCTCCATGAACTGCATCTAGCCCCCAGACCTTACAGTGCCGAGGCCTGGACTAGTAGTTAGATGACTGACCATATAATTTATGAATGCAGACAGATGTCAAAAACTAAACTTTGGGCCTGTCAGAATACTATTAAAATGGAGTCCTCTTCTGAAAATCTGAACTAACAGGAATTATGAAAATTGTTAGCACTTGAAAAATGTAAACACAAAAGGGGGAAAGGAACTGGACTGGGTGGTACAAGGCAGTGTAGCTAGGATTACTGTGATGTAACAAAGACAGACAGCACTTAGGTTTAAATTTTTTAAGTAACCTTGTACAATCTCAATTGAGATGTTTAAAGCTAGCCAAAGTACTACCAGACCCTTCAGGGAACAATCCTGCCCTAGAAGTAGAAGCATCTAATTGCTTGGGCCAGTAGTGCTATACCTCCGGTCCACACATCTGTGCTATCTGACCCCCAGGGCTCCACACAGGTCTGGAAATTTGGCAGCAGGGACCAGTGGTAATTAATGCTGCCCAATTTCTAAGCATTGTATTGGACCTGCACATGAGGCCAGGGTGGCAGTCCAATCCAGCATATGCAGGGCCAGGGCTGAGGCAGCAGGCCCAGGACAGCAGGCCTGATCTTGTACACACAGGGAGGCCAGTGGTCTGAACTGGCATGCGCCCATGCACCAGATGGTACCTGCACACTGACCCCACACTGGATCAGGTCCATGGAGTGACCCTGTGCATCAGACGGACCCCTCACCAATCATCCAGTTTACATCCTGGAACATTTGGGCACCACTGCTATAGGTGGTTTCCATTCAACTTCCACGCTTGTGACTACCTATTTACTCACATCTAAAACAAGGTGTTTTTTCCATTGATCATCATGGGAGGAAGGCCTCTCTCATCTTAGATCTGCATACAAGCTAAGGGGTGGGGTAGGGCATGCTCAGAGCCAGAGTCAGAGCCACAGCAGCCTCCTGCTCCTTGCACCATTTGCCCTCTGCAGCTTCTGTTCCCCGCCCCTTTCCCCCCATTACTGTCAGGTGCAGCTCAGTACCGGCTCCAGCTGGACTCCTTCCTTGGCACAAAATACAGGGAAACTCCGTCCCCTGCCTGGCCCATTAGAAGCACCGCTGCTGCTTCATGGCTCAGCAAGGACTGTGCTTCCATGTGCTGTGCTCTGTGCCCAGCAGGGAACACTGCAAAAGCAGCACCTAACAATAAAGAGGGTGGGGAGAGGCAGACTGTAGGGAGTGCAGGGGAGGGGCAAAGACTGTGGAGAGCTAGGAGTGGGGGCAGCAGACGGCGGAGATGGCAGGAAGGCTGCAGAGGGAAGGAGGCGGCAGAGGACAAAGGAGCCCTGGACACCTGATGCATCACAGCCACTGCTTCCCCTGCTTTAGCAGTAGGGAGGGGGAGAGATTAATTTAAGACATCCCTCCAATAACTGAGATTCTATACCTGGAAAATTATAACAAATGTATAAACTTCCCATAGATAGAATCTAACTTCCAATAAGAAAGAGTTGGGGGGGGGGGGGGGAGGGCCTGAAATTCAAGATGGTCTTAAGTTCAAGTAAATATGGTAGTATATATTCACCACTGTGTTACACCTGTCCAAAGTTAACAGAGATACTGAATTTCTGGCCTCATTAATACAGAAATTAAAATACAGTATCTTACATAACTTAGCTCATAGAAAAGCTTTTTCTTTGCTGTATGACATTTTACATAACTTCACAAAATGATTTTTGTTTAAAGTTTAAAAACTATCAGTACATATGCAGATACAAAGATTAAATTTCCTTCTAAATATTATACATTATTTATTGTGCAGAAACTAAACAGTTATTTTCTAAATCATCAGCATATAAATTAGCAGATCAGAAATATTTATAACCATAATTTATTGTTGGGTTAATATTTCTTTGGTAAAATGCCAACAGAAAAAAGTTATTTTAGGCTTTTACTAAATATGCTTATACTTTTTAAAGAGTCAGCATCTTCATTCTCTTTACCTGGCCAGTCTTATAATGCCTTGCAAATTGGTTAACCACACGATAGTCATTTGCAAAATACTCCATCAGAATAGAGGGAACTTCTGCAAAATCAGTAGAACATCTGGTCCCTTTAGGGAGGGGAAAATAAACGAAAAACAAGAGCATTAGTATAGAGCCAGTTCCATTAACACAAGTAGTTGTTTCCAAGAGTTCTCATTAGCGTTCAATTTGCTGTATTATTCTCTACTTTATGAAGTCAGTATTTTATTTCTATAATGTTATAATACATACTGGGAAAAAATCATTACAATCCTGCCTTTTTACTATGAAATCACAAAGTAAAACATAATATTTGAACAGCTGGATGAGGTGCTTTATAAAGCTGTGGGTCACACCCTTTCTGAAGGAAATTCGGCTGCAGCCAAATTGGCCCCACATGAAACACTTGTTGGTTTTTTTCTTCTTTTTTAATTGTCCTAAGCATAAATCAAAACTGTACTGTAAATAACACTGCATTAATCCCATTCAGTTATAATTCTTATCTTCCATCTGTTTGCTGAGCTTACATATAAAAGCATAGATATTAGGCTCCTACAATACAAGATCAATCAATGCAGAAAAGCACTTCTGAACATTCAATGTAGGTCCTGAATACGTGCGATAAGTAACAATTTTGGAATTACATCATTAGGTTTTCATGCTTTCTCTTTTTTCAATACTGCTTATTACTCACAGAGTCACTAGAAAAGACTGCTGAAACAAAGCTGTACTTTTAGTTGTTAATATAAATGGGAGTTAGGCATATCAAGCCTAGGTTATATTTTGGAACACGGAGGTGGTTGGGGACCACAAAGTATTCCAAAAGAGGTCTCAAAATGGCATTGTATTTCATAGAGTCATAGGGAAGTAAGGCTAGAAGGGAGCTCCAGAGGTCCTCTAGTCCAACCCCTTGCCTGAGGCAGGATCATCCTTATCCAAAACATCCTAAGCAAATCCATAATCTAAACTCTTTATAAAACTACCATCAACTCTGACCATGGGGTAAAATTCCTTCCTGACCCCAAATATAGCAATTGATCTGACCCTCAAGAAGGACACAAGACCCTCTAGCCAGGAACCTCCAGGTTAAGTCCCAGCAGGAACACTGGCACAACCCAGTCAAAATCCCCAGCCTTGGCTGCAACCAAACCCCCAATGCCTCTGGGGAATGCTTAAAAAAACCCACAAAAAACCCTGACACATATAGCAGAGAAGGGGGGGAGGAGGAAGTTGGAGCAGTATTCTCTCCCAGCCACATGAGGTAACCATAACAGAGTATAGAAATAGCTATGCCTATATCATCCCCAACCAGTAGCTGTCCAAGCTCTTCTTAAATACCTCCAGTGATGGAGAGTCCACAGCTTTCCCAGGCACTCTGTTCCACTGCCTTTTTGTTCTAACAGTGAAGTTTTTCCTGATATCTAATCTAATCTAATCTTACTTTGCTGTAACTTCAAGCCATTGGTCTGTGTCCTACTCTGCAGTAAGAGAGAAAAGATGCTTTCCTTCTTTTTTATGGCAGCCCTTCAGGTGTTTGAAGACTGTGTTCTTACGTGCCTTTTCTGCAAGCTGAACATGCCGAGAACCTTTAGCCTTTCCTTGTATGCTTTATCATCTTTGTTGCCTGACTCTGGACCACCTCTAACTTCTCCATGTCCTTTTAAAATGTGGAGCCCAGAACTTCACACAGTACTTTAGATGAGTACTCTAGGTGAGGCCTAACCAGTGCCAAGTAGAGAGGCACTATCACCTCCCCTCCCATGTCTTGAACCTAACAGAAAACAGAAAACTCCTGAACAATATCCCAGCCCAGCTCTGGTGGCTAACCTCTGCCCAACTAAGAAGGTCTTGCAGCGTATATGGAAGGGCTCTGGCAGGCATCGATGAGGAGGGAGTTCAAGAGCTGAAAAGTGACTGCTGGGAACAACCTCCATCAAGTATTTCCCTATCAACTGAAAATATCTTGTTGTATACATCCTAGACACTGCGTTGCCTTGCTCACAGCTACTATATATTATTGGCTCAGTTGTTTTGTGACTAATACACGAAGAGTAGAAATAGACGTCACCAAATAAAGCGGATCAGCTGTGTCCGCGTGTCCCAGAACAACTCATCAGCTTCACTGGCTAAAACACATATTGCCTGTTGTTCTGCCCGTTGATGCTGCAGGACAACAGGTGATGTGTTCTCCCTGGGCTTGAGGGTCCTGATCCTGCGCACATTGGTGTCTCTGGGGTGTGCCTCAGTAAACAGGAAAACCCCGACTTTCCCTGCTTACAGTGACATGTCCCAGAGATCTTGGGGGTGCATCTCTGTAAGAAGGGAAAGCCAGGCAGGCACTCCCAGGGCTTGAGGGGTCCAATCCTGTGCAGGGTCAGGCTCCTCAAGCTCCTGGAGAGAGAAAGTAAGAAAGGGTACCTGAAAATGTAAAGATGTTAATAACAACAACTTAAGTCTCAAATATTCCGTCTGCCCTACCTACAAATCTTGGTTTTATTCAACAGCTCGCCAATCTTCTTTTCCACCCACAGGAAGATGAGTCCCTCCCTTTTCTATTATTTTCTTGAGGCATCAAAGCCATCATCATATATCTTTAGGTTGGACCACTTGGTGTGCCTATAGCCCCCCATCATCATAAACAGTGTTTTCAAGACAGGAACAAAAGTCACTCCTGCTGCTGCTCTTCTAACAATGGCTCAAGCAATGCAAAGGGAGTAGAGACTCCCTAAGGAGTCTTTCCATGAAAGACTGCTGCCAGCTAGGACAATTCTGGAGTGTATTTAGCAGCGGTACGCAAGGGCTTACAGTATGACTCTGTCTGAAATAAACTGATGTCTCTGTCATCAATTTCCTGCTCCAGCTGGAGTATTTGAACATGCCCATGTACATGAGATACTGGAGATGGACACATCTAGTATCCCTGGAGATCAGAACAGAGTAGAAGGAGGGCAGCTGGCTCAATAAGTATTCAGATCTATTGGGTAGAAACGTTTATATACAATGTAATTTACATTAGCAAAGTCAGCTGCAATATACTGTTGAAGGCAGTTCTTTTTAATGTCGAAGTGCAAGCAGTATGCTTGCTTTTGAGTGCAAAATATGCCTGCCTGCAAAACGTGACAGTGACATATTCCTCTCAACAAGCATCCCTCTTTAACTAATCTCAATAGCATAATAAAAGTCCGTGCTTACAATTCCATTTTTTTCCACTTTGCATGGTGCTAAACAATTGTTCTGCCCCAACAACTCTTACTTCCCACCAAGTTCTTGTGTAAAAGCACATTTTAAACTGTTTGCAGATATTAAAAACGGTACCATGTAGCTTTAACCATACCATGGCTCTAACCCACTTGCCACAGTTGTAAGAGAACAGAGTCAGGCCAGCCTGGCAGCTGCCATCAAATATGCTAAAGCTGACTGCCATGGTTTGAAAAGAGCAAGCTGGAGGAAAAATAAGCATGTTCTTTCTAAAGCATGCTGTTTTGTGTGTATCTGGTGATCCGTGACTTGTTATCCAGTGTGTTCATTCATGTTCATTTACTTTGATAAGAGAGCCTACTACTTACCTACACACACTAAAATTATCAATTTATTTCATTAACAACTTGATTTTAAACGTAGTAAACACAGAACCTGGCTCTGGCACTTTAATACCACAAATTCTTTTTTTATTTGTTTGTTGAAGAGGGGGGCAGGGGGAGAGGGGGAGAGAGAGAGTGGAGGACCCTCTTGGCATTAGATTTTACACTGTAAATTCCCTAAATCATTTGCAACCCAACCACTCTATTTCTATTTAGCTCAAATAGTTTCAATCAACCTATTCTTCTTATATTACATACAAAATGATGGAAAGGGGTGCCTGCAAGGCACTGGGGTAATAACATGAGAACACAAAAAGGGCAAGACTGAAGGGTTTGGAGAATCAGCTAGATTCCTTAATAAACAGGACAGCAACTGCGTATTTTTTGTACTCAAGAATCCAAAAAAATCAAGTTATCATCAAGAGGCTGGAGGGATTCTGGCAGCATTCCAGAGGCAGTAACAGACGTACACACACAAAAAAATCTGGCATGAAAGAGAAAAATAAAAAATGGAGGTCAAAGATGACTTCAAGTTTCTGTCCTTCAGAACAGTATTAAGGTTTGAATTAGAGAGAGTCAAGAGTGAAAATCAGAGACACAAGACATTCTTTGTTTTCATTCTGAATCAAAAGCTACTTTCATTCCATTTCATAGTTGAGGGGGGAGTAAACAGAGATCCTCTGATAGCTGCATTTTTTCACCCTTGTCTTCAAAGGGTATACAGCATGGCAATCCTCACCTCTACCCTCATCCACGATGATGTCCCAAAGATTAAAAAAACATGCTTCTTCTCAACTGTACCAGCTTAAGGAGACAGGGACCTGAATCCTTGCATGATGCTGCAGTAATTCCAGGTTACATTTTAATAACTAATTTTTGGAATTAGTTAATAGAGTAGAGACAGAGGGATCAACAAGTCAATCAACGGTGTGCATGTTTAATTGAAATGTACTGTTTTCACAGGCCTGTCAGAGAAACATGTACTAACGTATAGAAAACGGCAACACACTGAAAGTTAAAAAGATAATGCAGAACTTTGGAAAACTTATAAATATATATAGTCATCAACATATATACACCATCCAATCAATGCTTGTTGTGTGAAGGATGTGTGCTATTATTCATGGCTTCACTTTTGCACATTAAACATTAAAATATGGTTTGCAAGTTTTTAAAAAAAGAATTATTGGCTGACCAGGTTCAACATCATAAAGCAAGGGGAGACAAAATATGGCCTGCAGGCCAAATTCCGCCCACCCTGTGATTCTATCTGGTTCATGGCAGGTCCCTCGGTCCCATCTGGCCAAGGCGCAGGGGGCAGCCTGGACTATGGTGTGTGTGGCCAGTCCCAGGGCCCTTGAGCATGGAGGTGCTGCCTGGCATGGAGCACAAGCCACCTAATCCCTGAGCATGCCTCTTGGGTACACAGGGAGCTGTAGTCTCTGAGGCCGGGCAGCCGGGCTCAGCTTCCCAGCAGCCCCCGTGGCAGCAGCTCCTTTTCGCTGCCACTGCCAGTTTCTCTGCTGCTGGACCCAGCCAAGGCACCCCAGCCTATTTGTACTGCACCCACCACCAGGGGTGCTGGATGGAGCATGCAGGTGGGCAGGCAGGGTCTCCATGGACACTGGCCCAGGACCCCTGAGGGCAGGACACACTTGGCTGGGTAGATAGGATGGGGCTGCGGGTGGGTGGGGAGTAGCACCCAGTAGCTGGACGGGCAGGCAGGGAGATTGCGGGCCAGTGACCGTGTAGGGCCAGGGCCCAGGGCAGAGCTGCAATCTGCTCCCCACACTTTCCTGCAATGGGTGCTGGTTCCACGGGCAGCGGTCAGCCCATGCCTGCAGAACCGGCACCTGTTGCAGGGATGGGCAGGGAATGGATCAAAGCTCTGCCCTGGACCCCAACCCCATGCTGTCACTGCCCTGTGATGCCAGCCCTGACCATCCATCCTGCTCCCTGCCTGCCCACAGTCAATCCCATCCACCTGGCAGAGCACACCACTCTTTAAGTGGTCCTCCACCCCAAATAATTGCCCACCCCTTTTATAAAGTTATTAAGAGCTAGTTAGACAATAATTCAGGAAATTAAAAGGGACAAAGAGATTATTCAAACCTTTTAACAACAACAAACATCACTATCATCGATTTCTTACCAGTGACATGTTGGTATCGAGTTCGTCCCAACATGGAATGCATGGCATGTCCCATTTCATGAAAAAGGTTCTCCATCATTCCAGGAGTTAGCAGTGTTGGTATATTCTTGGTTGAATGAGGCAGACTCAGCATGAGAACAACGACAGGGAGCTGGTATTCTCCATTTTCTCTTAACCTGCCTCCCCGAACTGTGAAATGGCAATCCTTTTGAAAATAAAACACACACAGAGTCATGCTACATGCCTATATGTTTAATATAGAAGGGTCATATTCTCTTCTCATTTATACCCTATAAATGAATTGGCTTCCGTTGAGCTGATGTAGTATAACAGCAGAATTAGACCCAAAACTTTATAAAGATACTTTATCTACGTTATTTCTTTTCAGAGTATATTGGAAGTAGCTTCTTTCATTTCATCAGGAAATAAAAAACTGAACAACTTTTAATGTATTGAACAAAACAGGTCTTAAAGGTACATTTAAGTTTAAAACATACAAAGAGTAAATATCACAACATTCAACTTTCCACCATTCTAAAAAAAGATTTTAAACAGTACAGGGCTGAGCTCTGCTGGTGTGCTAATCCTATAATAATAATTTGTACATAAAGTACAATCTGTCCCCAGTCATCAGTTGAGTTTTAAACAGTAAACTCAAAAGCAAGCACCCATATGAAGACTAAAGAAAAATCCACACAATACACTGCAGAACATTAGAATCATAGAAAAATTAGGGTTGGAAGTGACCTCAGGAGCTCATCTAGTCCAACCCCCTGCTCAAAGTAGGATCAGCCCCAACTCTATCACTAGCATACTTCATTACTAGTATACTACAATGCATTAGCAAAAATAATTAATACCCAACTACAGGAGACAAAATAAATAAAGTAATAATGTTGTTTAACATGTGTGCACATTCACTTACTTGCCAAAAGTTGGTAATTTGCAATAAGTTTTCAAATAATTTCTGCTAATTAGTGAGGGCCTACTGTATTTCGTTTTGTAGTTCTTATTTTGACCCTGGAATAGGAGTCACAATGTGTCCTAAAACTGTGGACAGCCCAACTATTTAAAAGGAAGTTTGGGAACTGATCCAGCTGACATTTGACCTTTTGCCTTGGCACAGAGCATATTAAGTTTCAAACGTTAATTGTTCAAAAGCCATAGGCAGAAAACAGGAAAAGAAAGCACTGATTCTTAAAATACTATTTAAAAAACAATGTACGTCTCACCTCTGCTGCACCTGAGGCTTCAGCCTGGTTAGCACTACTTAACATGGACTGCAGGACTAAGTCAAACCGTGTCAACATATACCACCTATGTACCCATGCAGCTACCATGCACAGGATCCTACATTCTCTTCCAACTGTACAAAACAACGTAGCTATCATATTTACTCGAATGCAAGATGCGGATTTTCCCCCAAACAACATGGGGACAGGGGAGGGAGCGAGGAGGGAGTCCCTCATCTGCCATTTGTATAAAGGAAACCTCATTAAATACACTGCCTATCTTTGAACTGCTGCTAAAAGCAACATGTGCTCAGTAAAAACAAAGTAATTATGAAGCTGATTAAATGCAGCCAAAAGCAAGCATTACTATAAAGTACATGGCCTATATTGGGGCAAACATGCTTATGGAAACTTACCACAAGAATAGGTTAATGCAGCCCATCTGAATAAGAGAAATGGTAGTGCCCATTAAACACACTTCTTCTCAGCACTGACTCTTTTTCCAAGTCATGGTGAGCCACTACACTGCATATATATTTACTTCCTCTTCACTCCTACAGCTGAGTCCTACCTTTCTTTTCCATGTCCAACAATTCCTGTTTCTTCACTAGCCTGAACTCTCTCACAAACATCACCAAATGGGGACCCAAACAGTTTACCCAAAATCCCTGATACCACCTCTCTCAGCCTTTGCAATGCGACTGCCCTCCATGAAGTAAAGCTGGACCACCTTCCCCTATGTCTCACTTGCATATACATTTTTGGAGGATCCCAGGAATCATGACCAGGGGTCTACAGAACTCAAAACAGCTGCTGGTTGATTTTTCGGACAGTCTGTGAGGCTGGCAGCCATTTTCACGGGTCAAGCTCAGCAACACCTCCCTCTCCCCCCAATGCCTCTGATTGGCCAAGGAACCCTGGTAGTCCTACCTCTCACCACTGATTGGCTGTGAGGGCTCGCCGTCATGCGGCCTGACTCTTGCCACCAGCTGGCCACATGAGGGGCAGGGGCAGCAGCCATCTTGCCATACTGGCAGCCCACTCCCCCCTTTCCCCCACCCATAATTTTTTTTTCCCCAGGGTGCCTGCCAAAAGCATGAAGCCTGCCCAAGATAACAGTTTTCAAAATTGGTAGGTCCTTACTCATGACAAAAACACAGTTCTAATCATGAGGGAGTGCTAATTAGCACATCAGTCCTTTGTGGGGGGCCTCTGGAGTACACACATAATGAGCAGTGCTGAACTATGGGGTCACCAAGGCTTGAAATGCTGCTGACTCACCTGGGGCACAGCTCAATCAACTATATGGTAAATCAAGAGCCTTTTGGCTCTGGACTAATATCATGTATAGTTTGTACTCTCTCTAAGCAGGTGCTAAGGTGCTACTTAAAAGTGTGTTTATAGAGTACCTGTGCTAAAACCTGCCGCAATTGCTAAAAAGGTAAAATGAATGATTTCTGAGGTGAACTAAGTCTATGGGTACTATATGCAATTTGCTGCAGCTTTGTTTATTTCAAGGTCAGTTTTTAAAAATGTGTTCCTTATTTCCACGTGCTTAGGGAGACCAGGGTCTGACAGTAAGGGAGGGGGAAGGAGCCGGGAGAGGGAGGAAGGGGGCAGAGCACAAAGAGCCTACCTGACTTGCCAGATTTATTTTCCCTGCTATAGCAGTGAGAAATTCAAGACACACCTCCAATAATTAGATTCTATACCAAATTTATACATTTTTTATATACAGACCCCAATTATTGGGGGACTGTCCTATAATCATGGTTGTCTTAAAATATAGGACCTATGATTTTTAAAAACATACTACCAAAGTTTAAATCAGTTCACAACAGAATCTAAAAGGAAGTTACACAATTCACCATAATGATGTTTACCCTTTGAATGAAGTATTCCTAGAATCCATGCAACTTAAGGATTTTTCCAAGATTAGATGCAAGTAAGGCCAAAGGTAATCTTGTTATGTCTGAATGCTATGAATTTTAACTCTAAATATGTGTTGCTAGATTAAAGTTAAAAGTGAAAGGTCCTAACAGTCTTTACCAGTTACAGCTACCACTCAGTTTAGCCTACAGTATTACCTGATGAGGTTTGTCAGCTCGTTGAAAGAAGTCACAGTAGATGTATCCCAGCAGGCCCTCTTTTTCATGGACAACTGCCTGGGAAAAAGTATGTGAAAATATATGTTTCCAAAGTAAATACCCTGTTGATTGGGTAAGTTGGAAAAATGTAATTCTTACTGACAGAAAAGGTTTATATTGAATCTACCTCACACCACATTACAGTTTGCTGATACAGGAATAATTTGATAGTAAATAGCTGAAATATATGTATGAAACATTCAAGTGCATTCTTCAAACCAAACCTATTTCTACAGTTTACACAAACTGAGTACCCAACAAAACAAAAATAAGCAACATCTCTTATCTGCATATACTAAACTTTTTCTGAACACCTCTGAAATATTGCTGGAGTTGGTTTATGAAAGAAACAGATTTAATTTGGTAACCAGAAATGCCAGATTGGCCACTGAGAAGCAGTAGCTCTCACTGGAGGCTAGGCCTAGAAGGAAAGGACAGAAGGAAATTCACTGGAAAATAGTGAGAGGTCAGGGGAAGGATAGGAGAATTGATCAGTCCTGAATGTGGTGTCTGTTTCTGTTATTTCCAACCTACAAGACAAGAAGGAAGTGGGATATAGTGAATCAAATAACAAAATAAGGAGATACACCCAATAGAAGAGAAAGGAAAGGTAGCAGACAGTAGGACTACATACTTACAGCATTCTATTAGGTTGCAACAATGTAAGTTAGCACTATAAAAGGGCAATAATCATCCCTCTACAGCAGGGGTGGGCAAAATATGGCCCGGGGGCCAGATCCAGCCCTCCAGGCCATTCTATCTGGCAAGCGGGGCCCATAAAAAAAATTTAGAAAATGAATACATCTACCCCTAGCTGCCTGTCAAATTCGACATAAGCCAGGGGCAGTAGGACGCAGGGGAATCCACCAGCAGGATTCAGTGGTTCCAGAAGCAAAGCTTGGCATCCCCGGCCCTGCCCAGCCAGAAGCCCCGTGCGGAGCTGAGACTTCTGGCTTGGGCCCCTGGGGCTGTTCCTGACTCCCTGTACTGGAGGGAAATTCATTTAAGAAGTGGGGGCGGAGGAGACAGGAGAGGACTGCAGGCGATCATCCCAGTACTCAGGGATGGACTGAGCCAGCTGCTGTGGTCCCGGCGCTGCAGCCGGGAGCCACATGGTGCCGGAGAGAAGGGGCAGCGAGTGGCCACGCAGAGCTCAGTGATAGCCAGGCAGAAGTACAGGATACACGCTGCTGCACCAGGGCTAGGGCTAGCAGGGGCTCAGAGTGGGGCGACAGAAGCACAGGCCTGGCCTGGCTCCATAGAGGATGTCTGGGGAGGGTTGTGGCATGTGTGGAGGGGGCTCTGTGCACCTGCTCGCTGTCACTTCTTCCCTCCTGCTGCTGCCATTTGCCTGCTGCTGCCACCATTCCTCTACAGCTCCCTGCCAGTCGCTACAGCACCACATGGTTCCCGGCTACAGCTCTGGGCTGCAGGACACACCAGGAGCTGGCCCGGCCCTTACGATTCTCAGATAGCTCTGTGCAGTGGCGGCTGGGCCAGTCTGGCTCCTGCTGCGTCCTGTGGTCTCGGCCAGGAAGCGGAAGGTCAGTGGTGGCAGATGGGAGGAAGTGGTAGCGAGCAGCAGCATGAGGCTGCGCTGGTGCCAGGAGCAGCAGGAGTGCTGAACCTGGGCATGGAGCACTGTGGGGGGTTCTGCCTGCCTCAGGGTGGTTGTGGGCAAATCCTTTCCCTCCACACATGCCACAACCCTCCCCAGCCACCCTCTCCCCAAACACTCATAGCTCCCAACAAACCATGCCGATCCACACCCCACAGCCACACACACACACACCCTCACACACTCCCCCACACTCCACATATCCACCCACCCACCAGTCTACATCCCACACTCCACATATCCACCCACCCACAAGTCTATATCCACCCACCCCCACCCCTCACAATATACAAGACTAAGACTTCATTTTAAGCTATTGTGCAATCACCTCTACGTACACTACACCAACACATGTAAATCAGGACAAAAATATTTTTTAAAATCAAATTAATGAATGTTGTAGTAAATGTTTGATTTTTAGAATATAATTTGGTATTTTTCTGGTTCTGAGATGACAAACTCTTGCTGAAAGGAGTTCTTCTGGGGGGGCAAGCAGAGGGACTTCTGGTGGCAAAGGTCAGGGGTGGGACATCCAGTCCCAAGATGGCGACCAGGGGGCGGGGCACCTGTCAAGGGGTGGGGCTACCCTTGAGGCCAACGGCTTGCCAAAACTCGGTAAGTGGCCCTCCACCTGAAATAATTGCCCACCCCTGCTCTACAGAGAAACCACATCTGTATTTAGATGCTAAAGCATAAACAGGCACTTAGTGGGACTTTTTCAAGCATTCATGATGCCTAATTTCAACTGAAATCTATGTACCTTATGTGCCTGAGAAACAGGGGTGTCAAAGATATGGTCCCCAGGCTGGATCTGATCTGTGGAACCCTATCAACTGGCCCACACTGCTGCCAATGGGTCTGAGAGTAGACCCACAGGCTGCATGCGGTGCCTGCTCTGGGCTGAGATAGTCTGTGAGCTGCATGTGTGTGCTACCAGCCTGTGGGCATGATCAAGGACCAGCCCTGTGCCATTCATCAGACCACAGGACCAGATTAATTTGACATT